AAGTTTTATTTTTAATTATGGCAATAATTAATAAATATAATTCACGTTAGCCGATGGTAAATTAATATAATTTTGTTTTTTTCGTAAAGAAAAATGACAGTTTAAAGTGAATTTTAGAATAATTTTTGTACGTTACTTTTTTATAACGAAAAAGAACGAATTCAAAATTTAACGGTCTTTTTTTTTTTGTGCGTTGTCAAGGAAGAATGTTTTCTTGAATCAGATATTTTCTCTTAAGGTGAGTGTTTTATTATAATAATAATTTCTTTTTTTATTCTTTTTATGTTAATTCTAATAATTTAAGTGTTTTTTTCTATTAATATAAATGTTTTAAATGTATTTTATCGAATTCACATTTGTTAAAAAACAACATGGCTGAAAAGTGTCATTTCATCATAATTTTTTTTAATGGATATGAATGTAAAGATTGTTTTAATGTTAATTACGTTATATTTTTAATGTGTTATAGTTTTAAATAGTGTTAAATATTATAAATAAGTACTTTTTTAAGTTTAAATTGATGTAGAATATGTAGAGTATGTAGAGTATGAAGCCTAGGTAAAAACTGAATGAGTAAGTAAGAATGTACCATAATTAACAACATATAAATTTATTATTATTAAATTAAGAAAGTTAATTACATTCATTCAAAATTAACATGTATGTGGTAATATATTTTAAATTGAATAGATATTGTAAAGATAGATGTATCAAAGAATCAAATTCTTTAAGAAAAAAGCACTACCTAAGTTTATAATGGTGGTGTAGAAAATATTTTAACAAAGTAAAAATCAGGGAAAAAAAGGGAAAAGAACTTGATAACTTACCAATAAATCGATAATTGTCGTGGTTTCCGTTAAATAATTTCTCTGTTTTACCTCCAATAAATATTTTAATATTATATATTAATTAAAACTTTTAAAATGAAAAATTAATTAAAATGTTCTTTGTTGAATGTAATAGTAAAAAAGTAAAATTAAGGTGTACAATTTGGATGTATGATATACATATATATAAAATAAGGTTTGAAACACATTAAAAATTTATTAAAATAAAAAACCCAAAAATATAAAAAAGGTTTCATGCAAAAGCAATTTCCTCAAAAAAAAAACCAACAACAACATTTATTTATGAAAAAAAAAAAAGGGGGAAAAAGAGGAAAAAGAGAGGAAAATCTCTGAAATATACAAAAAATGTTTTTTTCATTTATAAATAAAAATAATTTTTCTACTGATTGAAAAACCTTAACAAAAAAAAAAAAAAAATTTATTTGCTTTTTTTTTTGAGGAATGGTGGTTTCAAATTTTCAATTTGCAATTCAAAACATTTTTTTTTCTTCTTTTTTTAAATCAATAACTT